ATGATATTTCATTTTTAATGAAAAATTATAATATTAATAATAATATTAATAATACATTCATAATGAATAATGGATCATAGTAAAAACCTGTAATGATTTTCTGATAATAAGAAATTTATCATTCTTTAGACAAAAGTGATCAAGAGAGAACAATCGAATAAGTGTTTTCATTTCTGCTAAATGAAGTCTATAATTTTTTTAATTATCTAATCAGACGATAAAAGTTTTGTAAAGTGTCATGGCCATTTTTTTCACTTTGTTTTTTCAATTAAATTTCAAATAAAAGATGGTAAACCTTTGAACTAAATTACCCCGTGTAAACATTGTGTTCACCAATACAGTAATATACCATCGATGTTTAAAACCATCGCATGGCATGAAATTACACGCAATAGTTGTACGGGCAATATTTCTTCTCAGCCCTGCAGCGATCGCCTTCGGTTCAGATGGCTTTGGGGAGCGGAGCTCAGGGTAGACTTACAGGGGAGGCCGCAAGCACGCTAGGTAGCCTTTTTTCCGTACCCGTTATATAAATGCATTCCCCTTCGAAATGTAGGAAATAAAGAATTGCGAAACAACTTACTACATTTTTTCCGTGTTTCTAAATTATACATTGATGTCTCGTGGGCTTTGAACCGTTACAAAATGGATCGCGGAATATATTATTTTAAAACGAACCGAATGCTATGTAATCTTGCCGGTCATCCGTGACCTTGTCGCATGTTTGCACGTTATTTTCAGTCGAATTTCCTGAGAGAAAACGAAACCCAAGCTTTCTCTCGTACTGCTGTAAATATTGTCATTTTCATACGTCCGCGGTGCACGAGGAAAGTCACATTTTATTATTGTTTTTTTTTTTCAGTAAAAACGTTAATGGTGGCCTAGATGGCCGAGGTGACTAAGAGTGTGTAGCGACTGAGCGCTTCCCTCAGAAGGGTCGAGGGTTCGAGTCCCGCTTTGAGCTTGGTTGTTTGTTCCTCGTCTCTCTTATACGAGTATGTGTTCTCGGGGAGGGTTTCATGTTCTGCTGATCCCGGATCAAAGGAGCTCGCAAGGTTGTGCATGGTCGCATATGAACACAAAATAAAAACTCTTATTGAACTTCAGTCGTATTTCTTAAAGAAAAGAGACTGGGCTCTTTGGAGAGGCTTACGAGTACAGAAAACGTTCAAAATGTAAATATTCCTGTCGTATCTCAAAAACTGAAAATATTTAATCACAAATACCTAGAAAAAGATTGCAGGGCAATGCTAAATACCTGTACAATTAGTTCTCAAATACTCGAGTAGTCTAAAACGGGGGCTGCTGAATCAGAGCAAGAGTCGTTTGAAACCGCAGCTGCAATTAGTGCCGCGAGGGAAGTCGAGGCGCTGTCCTGGCGGTGCCTCTGGACTCGGCTTCCGCTATTAATACGTCTCCTCTCTCTTGGGCCGCCCCTCCTTTCTAACCGCAGCAGGGACCTTTGCGCCATCGGCAGCCATCGCAGCATTCTTGGCATCGCCGGAATCCTTCGGCGGGCCGACACAAGCAGCTTCTCGTCGACAGAAATCGATTCCCCTCTCATTCCCTAATAGGTCTTTCTACACGATACTGCGTTTCTATTTCAAAGTGGGAGAATGAAGAGAGAATTTTCCCTACACAGAATTAGATTCAAATTAATGATCAGCAGCAGCAGGCTGATCTAGCCTGTTCCGGCAAAGTTGTCTAGAGAAGACAGTCTCTTGTTTGATCTCCGTACTTTTTTTTTTAGCTAGTATGAGTAATAGGCCTGTTTGGGCAATCTCTCATTGTTCATTCTTGGTAAATGGTCTATCCAGTTTTTTCTATATGTGTTTATTTTTTTCTTGTAAGCTGCTAATACCCAATGCTTCTGTTAAATTCTCAGTTCGGACATGGTCCATTAATGTGTATCCTTTCACATAGCTCAGAAATCTCATTTCATCTACCTTAATTCTCCTGTTTTCTTTAAATGTTGTTACCCGTGTTTCGCATCCATACAGGAATGTAGGTATGGCTATTGTTTTATAAAGCCTGAGTTTGGTTTCTTTTCGTGTTTTCTTTGCCAATGTTCGTTTAATAGTGCCGCAGATAGCCTGAAATTGAGATTTTTTGTTGCACATCAATGTCATGAAGATATGTAATTAATGATTATCTGTAGAATAAATTTAACATTTACAAATTCAACATTTACTTCCTCCTGTTTGCAACGATGAAACAACGCGAGGCAAAGAAAACAATGAGTTACGTAACAGATGCACGAATCACATTCCGCGCATGTTGTTTTATTTAACACTCCATGGGCGAAACGTTTTCTGAGTTAATTTGTAAAATTACTTTTACATAAGTAAATGAATTGAAGTTAACACTGTTTCTCCATTGTATATAAATAATCAACAAAGATTTCAAGAGGCAAGATAATTGCAAAACGTTACAGAAGTTTCGCATATGCTTCGCATTCCAGTTACAATGAAAACTTTAGCTATTTTTCACCTGGAAAACACGCACCAGAAACCGTGTTTCGAGAACGACGTGTTAAAAGAAACATTTGATTTGATACACAATTCTTTCATCCAAGATTTTGTATGTCTTACAAAATAACAACATAACAAAGACATTAGGATTAAAAAAAAGTGTTTAGGATTCGATGAATACAGTGCTCCCGTGACCGCAGAACGGAGCGACAAGTGCTCTGCGACAACTGTGCACATTCCAAGCAGGTGCTCTCGGGACGACCATCTGGCCGCGCAGTTTGTCGGAACTAAGCCCGCGAACAATGCTGGGGAAGCAGGGCAGCGAAGCCACAGTGTGAGCTTTTGGGAACTTCTCAGCCAGTTAACAGTTGAGCCGTTGCGGAAAGGGGGCGGGGGCGTCGGGGACAAGCGCCGTTAAGGCTGCGGGAGGTAGTCCTACGATTTGGACCTAATTACATTCTGCTTTGTATATTAGTTTGCGGACAAACTTTTGTCGTATGTCACTTTTGTCAACGAGGCACGGACCGCACGCTATCTTTCTTTTGTCTTCCTTATCCTATCTTCTACCCTTACATATTCACACACATGTGCTGCACTTCCACACGTGATGGGAGGTTAGAACTTGTCCCGACTTGGAAGGTGCCTCACTGGGGGAGATATCTGGACGGGGAAAAGCCAACGTGTTGATCCAGCGGGGAAACAACGCCACGACGCCCTGGGATATAACATGTACGACACTAAAGGCACTAATTACCGCCGCATCTACACACGTAGCATAGAGAAAGTTATGTAATGTCCCAACAAAAACGATTTTTCGGCAGATCAAATAGTATTTATATCGAATAGGGAACCCTGATATCGAGAAAGTGGATAATGCTTGTTTCTCTTTGTAGTAAGTTACTTTCGCTAAAAGGCTGTGAAGTCAGAAACCACGTTTCATAGGAGCTTAAAACCAAAAAAATTGGTTTACGGCAAAACGACTGTCCACTCATGTGTCTGTGAACTTTGCGGCTGAAACGTATCCACCACAGTTATTCCCCGATCGATCTGACAGATGTCGCGGCCTCATGAATTTGAAACGGATATTTTAATTTGTATGATAAAGCCCGGTTTAGGAGCTAGCGTTGACCGCAAACGGATAGACCGACGTTTTGTCGTCAGCCAACTTTTCGGTATCAACGACCCCAAAACCGTGGATTCTGACAAGACGTATTCAGTTTCTCTGTCGCAATCTCGTTTTCTGTTATTGATCGGGGACACCACAGCAAACTACCGATCAGAGCAGCCGGAATTCTCCTCTAGACAGCGATGGAAGTCGACCTAGCTATCTGCCTCGTATCGAAAATCCTGCCACCTTCGGACCCTAGACCTCCCGGGCAGAGAGACTGCAGTGACATCAGCTGATGCCCTGAGCCACCTTTGCCGTGGGGAGTCGAACGTAAGGACTCGTTACAAAGGCTCTGAAGCAACTCGGTCGGGACGAGAAGTTAAATAAGCGCTCGACGCAACTGACGCAAGGTGCTTAATCCAAACGACCCTTCTCCGTTATTACGCCCTTTCAAACAACGGCCACCTCTGACGCGCACCCCTTCATTTCCGACCGCTCCTCGTCTGCCATCCCGTGGGCGCAGCAGGAAGTGGTCAAGTGCGTCGCAGAAGGCAGCTCCCAGCAGCGCCCCCGTCACGGAGGAACGGCCGAGAAGGAAACTGATCATCCCATTTTGTGGGAATGGTACGCCACGGCACCATCAAAGCCTCGTAATTGTCAGACGAGTCACGAGAACTTTAAATTGACACTAGTTGTAGGTGAAGTAGGGCGGAAGGAAGGGTTCAAAAATGACGAACGTGACGATTGTTGAATCTTTCAAACTAGCGAAATTTTGTAAAGCAGTGACAACTGGGTTGCGACATGTATGTCCGAACTATCACATACATTTCAACTCTTCAAAATATTTCTTTAACAACGAAATATTTAACATTTTCATAAACATCTGATGCCTAACTATCGCTGTTCTTAAACCAAATAACACATGTGTGGAATAATCTCCTGTATATGTGATTAGGATTCTGTTGGTTTTAAATTTTGTTGTCTTTGTACCATATGCCAGTTTTGGCTTTAAGCTTACGTAAACTGCTCCTGAAGATAAGCATTTGCTTCTTCGGGGGAATCTGCTGTGCAGCAGCTAAAACGTTCCTTCTCTTTCATCCAGTTTCCATTCCGAAACAGCGCATCGAAAGCCCCTTTTCCATCCATTTTCTGTTCAGAAACACGATGAAAAAAATGACAGAGTAAAGCGGGCTCTTGACGATATGAGAAAGTCATTATTTCGGGCGAGGCTGCCCGTCGGCCTCCGCGTAGACTTGCGTCGCGTGGTCCCGCACGCCCCCTATGCTCAGTGGGATCGCAGGGGCGGGGAAAGAGGCGGGCCGCGGCCGCGACGGCGGGCAGGAATTGGCGGGGGGAGGAGCGAGAAGTACGGGGAAGCAGAATGGGCGGGGGTGGGTCGAGAAAGGGTGAAGCGGCCGAGAATGGCGGGGTGGGTCGAAAGGGTGAAGCGGGCCGAGAACGGGCGGGTGAGGCTGTGGACGAGGCGGGTGGGGACAGGGCTAAGTGCAAACGGTGTGGGGCGGGCAGGGTGGGGTTGGGCTGGGGGTGTTGTTGTGTGGTGGAGGAGGGGCGTGGCGGGCGGGTGGGTGGGTGGGGCGGGGCGTGGTGGAGTACGGCGGGTGAGTGTAGTGGGTGGGTGGGGACGGCTGTAACGGTCGCCCCGCGTGGCCTGGATCTGCTGCGGGCGCCAGGGCGGGCACACTCACCAACGGGTGGCTTCAGTGATTGGGTGAGTGAGTCAATACGCGTGTTTAGGGAAGGGCCCAGTGCGACTGACCGACTCAATTAGCTTAGAGCCAGCAATTATGCAGCGACTCTGACGAAGGGGTTATAGGGTTCGAGTCCAGACGAAGCGAATTAATCCCACTAGCCACATTCACTAGCACCAAGGTCATGTTCACACATTTCTCCAATTTCTTTTCTTTTTCACACGAAACCAGAATATCATGCAACTGATGACAATTCTCCAGAATTTGACGTAGTTTTAAAAAAAATGTTGTGCACGTACTGACTCACTCTGTTCAACAGGTTCATAATAAATCATATAATTGATAAGCAAATATAACATCTTCTAAAGTAATTAAAGAAGACGGCTTAAAAGTACACCATTCGATTCCAACGTTTTGACGATTCATGCAAAGAATGCTTTATCATCATCATCTGCCTTTGATGCAAAGCTTATTTAGCGGAAACAAACGGAAAGAGAGAGACAGGCACTTGCGTAATCGTTGTAGGCTTCGTAACGGGACAAAGCGAATTACCGGAACGCAATCTGCCGGATAGACGATGAGTCACCGAAATTATGCAGCACCTTGAACTCGCGAGAAGACACGTCTTAAACTACGAGAATGCTACATGTGGTGACCCACATGTGGACATTTCTACGTTCGAAGAAAAGCTATTAAGGGGTTCAAAATACCGAATTTCCATCTTAATTTTAAAAAGAAAGGACACTAAAAATAGTTATCTTTTATAATTTTTAATCGGATAAAAAAATAACCATAGGTAATACTACTTGTGCTTTGGAAAATGTCGATAAATCTCTGACTCGCGAAGCAAGGAAGGGATTTATCTGATAATTTCCAATGCACGAGTGATATTTAATAGGACTATTTCGCTAATAAAATTATGTTCACCACATCTCCAAATAATGAAAATTACAGAACACTATGTTAAAATCGAATATGTTATGTGGCAGTACATACGCGGTTTACACATAGCGATATAGCAAATTGGCTATAGCATATACATAGCAACATAGTGATTGATGTAGACCGCCTCCTAAGATATATGAGTTGCCGTTTAAGGCTAAATGCACCGAAAAATAGTCTTTCGTGACATATCGAACACAATGATATAAATAATTCGTCAATATGCTGAATACTTACACTGTATACTTGGGCGAATTCGTTAGTTCTACCTCGTATGTACGACAGACAACAGTAATATTTAAATATGCGGTTCATTAAAGTTTTGGAAATATATTTGTGCAATGTAATTGAATTATTCTCACTATTCATTATATCACAATTCACATTACATTATTGTCTAATTGCCGCCTTGCGAAAGATGAGGCGTCAAAAATATTTATACTTGCACATGTAATATTTAACAATTTGAGTTAACATTTATAACGTCCAGAATGTCAATAAGTAGTAAATGTACGATAATTTTTCTACTGTTTTATTTAGTTCGGTTTTGGTGTCTACAATTCTTTGAACATCTATTTGTCTTTAGAGTTACGATTTAAAATCAAACAATGTTTCTTAAAGGCAATTCCACACACAGTAATCTAAAAGGTTTATTTATTAGAGAGCTTTGATGTATGGTGATTAGTTTCGTGATTGCAGTGCATGTAAATTACCGAAAATGGGAGTCTTCTTACCAACAATGATCCTTTTTAAGCCTACCGTGATCCTAGAAAGCAAACAATGATACTTGTGAAGCCAAGTAGGTGATCGACCCAGCAAGTTGAAGTGGGTGATCGACCCACCAACTCGATCAAGTGGGTGATCGACCCAGCACGTCGATCAAGTGGGGGATCGATGAAGCAAGTCGATGAAATGGGGGATCGGCCCAGCAAGTCCATGAAGTAGGGGATCGACCCAGAAAGTCGATCGAGTGGGAGATTGACCCAGCAAGTCAATCAAGTAGGAGATCGGCTCAGCAAGTCGATCAAGTGGGGGATCCACCCAGCAAGTCGATTAAGTGGGGGATCCATCCAACACGTCGATCAAGTGGGGGATTGACCCAGCAAGTCGATCAAGTGGGGGATCGACCCAGCCAGTCGATCAAGTGGGGGCACGACCCAGCAAGTTGATCTATTAGAGGGAAATAACACTCATATTTACTCTCTCTCACACAAACACATTGAGATTTTCGTAGAGAAACAAAATGTTCCTATATTTTTAGTTCAATTAGAATTGAGTAGTTATATAATGACACGGTCTGTACACGGAGAAAACGGTTGGAAAGTGTAGGTGTTGCGGTTCAAGTGCTTGAGAGCGGGCGTTAATCTTGGTGCAACTCTTGGAATGCACCTAGCATGCGGAATTCGTTGTAAACGGGGAGGGAGTGCGCGGGAGGCACTGCCACGTGAACTAGCGGTGTTTAAGTTAGCGGCGAAAAGCGCTTGGCGGGATTCGATAACGAATGAAATCTTCGTGCTGCGATTGTGCTTGCGAGCCCCGACTATGTGAATTGTCTCTCTCGCCATAGGACTACAGGCCGACGCGAAATAAAATGAAAATTACTTGTTCAAGCATTCAGTGGCAAAATACTATCTTTCTGACTTCCGGGAGTGAAGGGAGGAGTGACTTCGATACATAGGACTGACACGTATTCTAAAGCAAGCGTTAATGTGTAGAATGCGAGGTAGTAGACACATAGGCAGATCGTTATAGAAATGAAGTTGGTAGAAGTCAGAACAGGTAATGAACCCATCCTTGGAGTAGAGGAGAAAAATATGATCATAAGGGTGTCAACTCTTATTTGTTAATACGAGCATAACTGCGTCATCGCAGGCCAGTACCCATAAAGCTAAAAAAGGATTCTGTTATTTTTTAATTGCTGAATTATTTGCAGAGCTAAAAATTAATCTTAGAACGTAGCACCGCTTTAACCGCCGGGCCTGGCCGTGCCACCGCGCTGACAGAGGGCCCACAACGGGCGGGTGGGTGACGCAACGGCCCAGAAGGGGAAGTGGGGGGGGGGCGAGGTGTTTTCGTAAATTTCATTTTACGATGCTCCTATTAGTCCGATTTGCATGATTGTCACGGCGTTGGATTCAGGAAGCATGTCGCCATCGCGCCAAACGACCACATTTTTAAATTTGTACTCGGAAGTTTGAGAACTAATTTCAAATTCGCTTTTTTGTTAGATTTTTGGAAAAAGGTCATCGTAGCGTAAATTCTATTTTAAAAAGGCGTCAAATGCCGTTTACAGATCGGAAATAGAACCACTGGTTCAGACGTTATCGTAAAGTAAATTTTACTTACTTTGGTGATGCCACGTGGTGGCTACAAATTGTACTAGTGTCGGGACATTTAGCCTTAAAGCGTGTGTAAGTAACGGGTCAGGATAAGTGGGGAGGAAGGAATCGTCGCCAGAGGTCCATGTCCCATTTCTGAGGGTACTGCTCCTCCATTCGCCTGGTATTCGATTGGGCAAACCACGGAAAACCGCCAATCAGAGCAATCCACGTATTGCAGCGTTGAGCAGGTAGAAAGAAGCGAAAGAAACTCGGCCATCAAGGGGTTTCGAATCCTCGGACATCCGGGTCAACGAGGCTTCGAAGGTGTTGCCGCTGGGGCGATTGGATATTTTGATTATGGGGATACTTAACAATTTTCGACATTTTCTTCAAAATTGCTTTCATGCTTTTTATCAATCGTCCTCGGATAGGTAAATTGATTAATTATACCACGAAGTTTGAATAAACGCAAAAATGAGATCCACGATTTTTATTCTTATTAAAGTATTTTAAGTATTTTTTAAATACACGTATTTTATGTATTTAAATATACCTCTGAAATACATGTCCAAACATCTTCAGGTTTTTTAAAATTCAAAATGTATTTAAAATACGTATATCAAATACAACTAACGTATATCAAATACAACTATTGAAACCCCATCTCTCTTTATAGGATTGCAAAACGTTGACTTCATAACTTTCAAAAGATTAAATATTGTCTGTGAAATTTGGTTGCGAATCTCAACACACAAAGGTTGTGCGCATGCGCCCCGCTAGAACCGACGTGGCGTGTGGGGGCGGTTGCGTCAGGGCGTGGAGGGGGCGGGGCGAGAAAGGGGGAAAGGCCTTCATCAGGGCAACTTTCGCCGACGCAGGGCCTCCTTTA